AAATTTTGCATGATTATGCTATAGGCCGGGCTCATCTGTAATTGCTATTACTTATCATTAATGGGTAGCCATCGACAAAAATATTGTAGTATCATCCATTATCAGAAAAAAGCATTGTTACCACTATAATATTCATTAGCTACAGCTGACCGCAAGTGAGCAAATCGTAAAAACACTTGCTTCCTCGATTATTTTGTCGACACAATAGTTATCCCGAATATCATTCTCAAAATGGTATCTATCCCCCAAAACGCGAATACCTATTTAATATATTTTAATATACTCTGCAGACCCCTGTGGTTTCGCTTTCAACCAGAGGGCAACGCGATCAGTTTCAGTGCGTCAGTCAGTGTCCAGCATGTTGTCGTCCGAATGGCCACACCTGCAGCCAAGCCTCACAAGTGCCATCCGAAGTCAGGATTTAGCCAGGCGGGGCCATTCGGTGCAGAGGCTGTGTGCCCATCTTCCCTGCAACTCCTAAAGTCCTACGAAGAGGCGCCCTTTTTGTGCCCAGGCATGTCCACTGCAAGACCTTGGAGCTCCCTGGGACTGGTGGGAAAAAAAAACCACCAGCATGAAGCGTCCAAGAAGTTTGGCAGCTGTTGGCCGCCGGAATGAGCTTGCTGAGGATTTGGACAAGCAACTTTCGGAGGCAAGAACTGAAGCTATGAGCCAAGCAAGAGTAAGCTTCTGTTCTGCTCATTCTGCTCTCTCTCCAAAAGTGTCGAAGCGGGTCAGGCAAGAATAGATCATTTGACCGAAGTGCGCCGCAAAGCAACTCACACGCATCTTCTGATAAAGTGTCGAGGCGGGTCAGGCAAGAATAGATCATTTGACCGAAGTGCGCCGTAAAACAGCTGGACATCCAGCCACACCCGCCCCCCCAGACAATGGGCCAGGCGGATGGTTGGATGCTCATGTCGGTGGCACGCAGAGGTGCCATGCGGCTTGAAACACAGTCTGTACACGTGCACGACAGCACCACCCTATAAAGCACCTGCCCAGGCAGGGGTGGTGGGCCAGGTGCCCCAGCCAGCGAATTAAGATGGCCTGGATTCAGCCAAGTCCTGATTTCAGTCCTCAATCCCACACAGCCAAGGCACGTAGGAACTGGCTCCACTGTTCCAGGAGTTGGACTTTCCGAGCCTCCGGCAGGGTCTGCAAGCGTGCCGCCAAGAAGACAGAGGCGCTGAAGATCAAGTACCGCAATCTTGACAACCAGGAAAGATTGAGCTTGGATCCCCCAAAGAAGATGCCAGAGTCACTTCTCTCCATGTAGTGGACCAGCCATCGAAGCTCAGCCCTCACTTGCCCCGGCAAGCACCCCTGCAAGTAGTTCACGAAGGATACCGCCTTCCTGCACTTTTCACTGACCTCTGCAGCACTCCCAAAGATGTATGTCATCAGCCAGCACGCCGTGATGCTCGCCATGAGCTGCGGCAGCACCCAGCTTGTGTTCTGCGAGGGCAAGCTGCTTGGTAGAAAAATCTCCAGGAGGGGGCCAATTCCACCCGTCAGCGCGGTCACAAACATGACGACATACACTGCCTGGCAATGGTGTGTGATCTGCCCGGTGAAAGCAGTGACGCGAGTCCAGCGAATGTAGGCAGACTCCACATCTTCAGGATTGCTCGCGCAGGTGCGGCAGAAGGCATCCACCAGGCCGTTGACAAACTCGTTCAAACGCAGTAGCCATAACACCCAAGCCCCGCGGTAAAGGCATTGGAGGCAAGGCAACAGGATGACTTGCCATGTCATCTCACCTCCGCCCAATGCGACGAGTCGGACTTTCACGGCATGGCAAAGCATCCAGCTGGCGAGGCATCCCAAAACCGCAAGGGTGTGCCACTTGATGGCGGACTTTTGGGCTGAAGCCATGTTTAGGGAATGCGTGGCCTCCTTCGCATACGCATTGAACTTGTGAAAGCTGGTGCTGCAATTTTTCTGCGCAAGGAGGATTAGGTTCGCGGTTGCTTCGCAGAGATGCTGCAAGCAGCTGCCCATTTGCCACCCGGTGCTACTTCCAGTGACCGCCGAGTACAAACACGCTGCCCACAGCATTATGCACACGATCATGGCGGCACTGCGCACAGTGGCTACCCACCGGGATCGGCCCTGCAGGACCACACCAATGGGCAGGAAAAGGATGAGACAAAGGCGATCGATTGCAGCCTGACAGCATTTGTGGTTGCCGACGGGCGCCTCATCCTTGCTCTCTGCACCTAGTAAGTCCAGCGAACCTTAGTGGCCCAGCAACCAGAGTACAATATGGGTACCCTTTTTCGGGTTAGTTACTCTACAAGGGAGCCCAGAACCAAAAAGGGTAAAGGGTACCACTGGGCTACCACGGAACCCAACTGTCCCAAAACAACGTTGTCGACTGCAGAATGCAAATCCCGCATGGATGGACGGTGCTCTATGACATCGCCGAGTTCAAGGGACTGAAGGGACCCTGCACCTGTACCGCCCGTACCTGTCTTCGGCATAGTCGCTGGGCTTTCTGGTTCTGGCACGATGCGATCGAGACGCTCTGAAGCCGACCCCCCACCTGCCATAGCCTGCTCATCTAGCTGGTTCTGGAGCTCCTCGAGCGTGGACTCGCTCCTGACGCGATAGTAGCTGTGTGCGGACATGGCTCTCGGAACGTCCTCGGGTGGCTCCACTTGTGCGTCCATCGGGCGTGGAGATTGGGGACTGTCCATGGCGCAACACTTGTAGCAGAGTCGGGGCCCTGGGATAGTCAACCTAGGCCTGATGCTGAAAAAGCAGCTGCGGGTCCGATAGCTTAGCCCTCAGCATCGACCCCATTCCGCCCGTCTGAAGCTTCCCAAACAAAGGAGCTCATGTACGCTTGTACCGTATTTACGCGGCTTCTATGTCCAGTCTACTTCATCCTGACTGCAGTCCTTCCTGCGAACCCCAGTCCGTCAACGCTGAAGGTTTGCAGCCTCCGGCTTGTAGCTGTCGGGTTGGTGAGCACCGTGTTGACCTTCAGCCACTGACTTTTTGAGGCTGCCTCTCACTCCCGTAAATTGCAGAGAAGCAAAAAGATTGCTTCGGAGCTGCTAGAAAAGCCTCTCCTCAGGCCCATGATATTGAAGCGACGGCCTCAACGTCGGACCCTGTTGAACTAGCTGTCATTGAGAAGGTGTTTGAGAGGGGAATGTTCGAACCTGAAACAGACATGACAAGTTGTGCATGTAGCGTGGCATCCGTTCGAGAGCAGCTTTGGGAGCTTGAGGGAGGCCTGCAATCGACCTTTGATTTGAGCAAGGTCAAAAGGCTCATCCCCGGGAGGCAGAAAGATCTGCATGCCGCCATGGAGTTGCCCGGTTACCCCTCAATGCACCCAATGTGAAAATGTACCCCACAACGTGGAAAGAAAAGGGGAGCTACGTGGGACTCAGTGAGCCCGCTCGCTCAGGCGCTTGCGCCTTCGCCGAAAGCTGGCAATGGCCGCGCCCGGCGGCAACGGTGCCGTCAAAACCTTCCATGATGGCATGGCCGCTCGGACACCTTGCCTGAACGAAGCGTCACTCAGATGTTGCCGCGCTGCTTTCCACACGTTCGTAGTTCTGTCCGAGCATGCAACAAGTGAATCATGGTACAGAGGGCTGAGCAGTCCTCTTGAGGTGAATAGCACAGGAATAAGAGCAAACAGCATGCCATGATGCTTGACAGAATGCCAAAACTCGCAACCTTTGTAGCAACGAGCCTAAAGCTTGGGCCACAACGGGCAGCGGCTAAAGCTTCTGCCTCGTTGCCAAACCGGCTTTGGAGAATGACGTCATCTCAGAACAGGAGCACGTGGAGGAAGTCATCAGGAACACACAAGCAGAAAGTCGTCCGAGGTCCCCTGGCCAGACCTTCAATTCTCGGGTCTGCCAGGGCCTCTAAAAAAGGGGCCTTGATAATTAGACTAGGGTCTTGGGGGTTGTTATAGTATATTTATAAAGGGACCATAAGGGAATACTATTCGTAATTACTCCGACCCCCATAGTACGCTTCCCTCTTCGCTGGAACAGACAGGTCTCGTAAGGAAACTTCTCAGACATGGGTCGCCCCATCGGGTCTGTCGACTCGCTTGGCTTTAGCATGTCAAGCGCTTGGTTTGCGATGCACATGGTAGACTGTACGATAGCTGTGGGGGCGCATGGTGAGATGCATGCTTTGTTGAGGCTGGTTAGTCGGGTTCAGGGAAAGATGCACGATTTGATGCCCCTTGGTTGTATGGTTTGCTGCCGCTGGTTTGTGCGATTTGCTGACGTTGATTCGTGGAGAATGGTAAGATGTACGACTCGTGACCGTTGGTCTGTGGCGGACATGCTGGGCCTAGTTATGGTCTACAACCCCAAATGGTCAGGCTGACTGCCCAAGCGGGTACCCCCACTTAATTTGGGAAATGCTCCCTAAACCTTCACAACCCTCAAGCCTCTAGGCTCAAGGCTCCTGAAACCCCTGAACCCTAAGCCCCTTACTGTTTCGGGTGCAGGATGCCCATGTTTCACCCAGCTCTCAGAAGGCACGCGGTTGGTGCGGGAATTTCCGAAAAAAGGGGTACCCTTTTTGGGGGTCCCTTCAAGGGGATTCTCTTCTATTTGGGGTATAGAAGGGGTACCCCTATTTTGCGAAATGCCCATATCTACACAGTCGAAACGGCTTCGGTGCTGCCGCCGGTGGATTGGAAGGAGTTGTTGCGGTCCACCAACCTAGGGGGGCGAGTTGAGAGTTTAGGGTTTAGGGTTTAGGGGCTCAGGTTTAGGGTTTAAGGTTTAGGGTTTAGGGTTTAGAATTTTTAGAGTTTAGGGTTTAGGGTTTGGTTCAGGGTTTAGGGGTTTAGGGGTTCAGAGCTGGGGATGGAGGCTTCAGAGTTTCAGAATTTCAAGGGAATCAAAAGGTTCTAGACGGCCAAGCCAGAGGGTTGGCTACCACTGAGTTCAACCCTAAACCCTAAACCCTAAACCCTAAACCCTAGAACTCTGGATCCCTTGAAGCCAAACGTAACCCTCTAGAGACTCTAGAACCCCAAGCCCTAAGACTCCGAAGCCTTTTCTTCCCGAAAACCGCTGGCCCTTAGTCGTCAAAAGCCGCTGGCAAAAAAAACAACTTGGAGGTTCATGGTACTTATAAACAAATATAAGTGTACTTTTTACCCACTTACAAGCCCCATCAGTGCCATAATATGGTTACAAGTACAGTTATCAGTACAGTTGCAACTGGTTCATAAGTACCATGAACCTCCAAGAAGGTCGTGGGTCCTTGCTGGCACCTTGAAGCGGGAGAAAGAGGCCATGGTCAGGGGCTCAGGTTGAGGGCTTGAGGCTCTTAGGGTTTAGGGTTTAAAGGGTTTATAGGGCTTATAGGGTTTATAGGGTTTTTTTGGGTTCAATAGGGTTTATAGGGTTTGTAGGGGTTTATAGGGCTTATAGGGTTTAGGGGCTTGTAGGGTTTAGGGTTAAGGGAGTAGGCTAAAGCCCTGAATAGGGACTATGTTTTAGGGGCGTAGCAGGCAGTTTAAGCTGAGATCCGAACACTGGGTGCGTCTTCACGTTGTCAAGGCGGTTAACCTCGCGAAGGTCTCAGGTTGGGGCGTTCGCACCCTCAGCCCCAAAGCACCCCAAATCCCTGGACCCCTCACGCCCAGACGAGGCTGCACATGGGAGTTGTTCTAAAAATTTACTTCCGTTTTCTTTTAATCCTGCTTGATAAGGGACGCTGCTACAGACACTTGGGGTCTCAGGGTTTAGTTTAGGGGCAGGTCTCGGGCAACAAGTCCAAGGTTGGAGAAAACACTGCTAAGGGAGCCAACGCCTACTTCTGAGGGCGGCGCCAAATGAAGAAACAAGAAGCTAAGTCGACACCACAACAGGTTTAGGGGTCTTGGGTTCAGTGGCTTGGAGCTAGGTTTTGTGCAGGTGCATGCAGGTGTCGCACCCCAAGACCACTCCAAAACCACACACCAGCCGACACCCGAGCCAGCCAACGCCAAGCGCCCTATTCCTAAAACCCTCAAAAGGCCAGCCGGATCGTTGCCATTGGTTCCTGCTCGTGGTAGGCTTTGATAACAGATTGCTTCAAACAGATAAGCATGACAAATCACAAAGGCTGAAAACCGCAGAGACCACAGTGCCGGTGAGCCAGAGGCTTAGGAAAGAGAGTGACAACTCGCAACATGCAGCAGTTACATGTGGATAGCAGTTACATGTGGATAGTATGAGTATTATTGGTACATTTAGTATCATTACGAACTTATTTCTACTATTGATAATTCTTATGAATATTATTCACAATTAAGCTGTTGGGCAACAGAAGCACAAGCGGAATTTGTAAGGACACTTCTAGCCATTCTTTAATCGGCAGCAAGTTTCAGCTTGTAGTGCCGGCAGACACCATGGCCCACGCATAGGACAGCGGAAGATGGCCCAAGCCTGGCAGGTCACGTTCAGGGTACATGTGTCACGGAAAGATATGAGTAACGTCAGCTGAATATTGCGTAGTAGAAGCCGTGGCCATTTTAGGCTACAAGGTTTAGGGGCCTCATGTCCTGGGCAGGCAGTGTAGTGTTTTTAGCTTCGGACTGTTGCCGTCACCAAAGCAACCTGGGACCTGCCGGCAGAGGTCACAGATGTCAAATCGCATCGCCGGCCTTCGAAGCTGTACGTCCGCGTAGCAGCGAGGTTCACCCGAGCCTTAGCTGCGCGAGTTCAAGAAATCTTGAGCTAGGAGCTTCCCTGGCTGGCTGGAAAGGAATTTAAGGCCCGGGCTCGCGGGTGTTTTGCCTAGGACGTCTCGTGGTTCAGGGCTGAAGGTTTCTAGGGTTAGGGTTGAATGATTCTTGTAACTAGCACAGAGACCATCGCGAGAACGCTCAGACCAATGAACCATAGCATGCTACGACCGTGATGCTCCCAACCAAAAGTCGAAGGTTTAGACCCCCAGAATCATCACAAACGACACGATGGAGAGACATGTGTGGGTTAGGGGGGGTGTTCCGAAAAACTGTTTCCTTTTGCTGCTGTCCTTGAAAAAAATTTGTGAGCTTTCATGTCCCAAGGGGCACGGAGAGCTATCAAGCTTGAACTCTCAACAAGCCATGCGAGGGTTTGCCCAAGCATAGGTTGGTTCAGGGTTTTGGGGCTAAAGCCCTGGCCTGCCCTCATTTTTTTTTCAATCTTGGGGACCTCTGGGCACTCCATCTCACAAGGGCTGCGGCTGCAAAGGGCACTTCTGGCACCGGCTGGTCAACATCTGCCTGCATGTCGGGGGGGGGGGGGGAAGTGGGGTAATCTGCCGTTTTCTTTGAAAGTTTGGGGGGGACTCGGGGGCCCCGGTAGGGTGGGGTCCGAGGAGAGGAGGGGGGTTTGCTCCAAATTGGGGTTGGGGGTGGGGGGTTAAAGGTTCTAGGGCTTTAGAGGGCTCAGGGGTAAAGGTTCGGGTTGGGGACTCTGCAAGGTACCCCAGAACGGCACACAAATTAGAGAGAGCCCTGTGCAAGGAAGCTTGGGAGGGTGGCGATCCCAGAGCCCAAAATCCCCTGAGCCCCAGCCGCCCTAAACCCTGTAGCTCGGCGTCTCATACGCTTAACCGAAGCCTCCAACCCATCTCCAAGAGATCAGCGCAACCCTACCTAAACTCGAACTTTCCCCTCCTGCAAGAACCCTAAGCTGCCTGGACCGATCCCCTGCACCCAGCCTCAACGAGCTTCGCGTTGGGCGTTGCAGTGTGGTCGCCCTCGTCGTGCGGGGTTTGAGGGGTCTAGGGTTATAGGGTTCATGGGGTTCAGGGTTCCGGGATGTACTTTGTTGATGGGCTTGCTTCGGTGCGCTTTGCAGGTGCTGTGAGTGGTTCAAACGGCAGGCATTCATTGCGCGACCGAAACCAAGCCCCCTTATAGACCTGATAGCAAGAATACTCTCTCTCTCTCTTTTTTGATAGACCCGTTAGACTCCTAATGACAAGAACACTTCTCTCGTAGACCCCCAATGACACACGAAGGGGGGGCCAAGTGCACCGAGAGAAGGGCACGCCAAAGTGCACTTGAAGATCACCCACAGAGGCCCTCTGAGCATACCAAAAGCCCCCCCGCCCCCGTCAGAGTACTCCAAACCCTAAACCCTAAGCCGCGCTCCCAAGGTAGCCAATACCCAAAACACCCAAAGCCCAACACCCCAAACCCCAAGACTCAAACAAAATCCAAGAAGACCCCAGAAAGCTCCAAGACCACTCCCAGAAGAGCCACGGGGCCCAAAAGCGACGACACTTCTGAATTTCACGAGACCCGATCCATTTGGGGGTTGACGAACATTTGGGGACCCCTAAAATAGACCCCAAATAGTAGGATTTCCTGAAAATAGGTACCCCAATAAGGTACCCTGATTTCGGAAACCGTCAATTCTCTTCTGCTCTGCATGTAGGAACCCCCATTGTGCAAGCACTGTTTTTGAGAAAATTCGCCGGACAAAAGAACCCATGCATTAAGTGGAGGATAGGCATGGTTTAGGGTGTAGGGCGTCGGGTTCGGGGTTGAGGCTTTCGGATGCTTTAGGGCCCAGGGCTCAGGGTTTGGGGGTTGAGGGTTTCGAGGTGAGGCAGGGTGGCAGCAAGGCACCTGCATCTGGGCAAAGAAATCCGTGTTTGGCTCACCTGCAGCGCTGCGGGAAGCACCATGTGAGGGCAGGGGGCTACGGTAGACCTTTGACTTCCTTCTGTCTCCTTCTCACTTCTGTATGTTTTACTAATAGGTGCTACAGAATAAAACCGTGAAGATGCTGCCGGGACATCACTTCCGCTTTGTTCTTGCTATGGGAGCTCTAACGCCGATCGTCGACCTGGTAGCCGTTAGCTAATTTTAAGTTGTGAGGTGAGACCATGTACTTAGAAATCCGCCTCTAAAGCAACGGCCAACTTGTGGCCTCACCGTCATGAACCCAAAATTGCTTAATCAGTAAAACCTTTGACCCGGTCTGCTGGTACAACTGACCGCTGCGACCGTAATTTCTGAGCAGCATGCTTCTTTTTATCTGTCCCCCCCTCAATGGTGCCGTATCTCCACAGTCATGGGCTTTCATCTGAAATTGCACGAGCTGGCGTACTCGTCTCAAGAGATGCACGTGAACACAGCGTCTGACAACTAGTTCGCTCACAACATCCTATGACGAGCGAGAAGAGAACGAGCGAGAAGACACGTAAAGTGCCGTTGAATGCCATCAAAATAATTAGCCAAAAGTAAACGGGGAAGTGCTAGAAGATGTCGAGGTAAATTTGAGTAGAATAGAGTAGCGAGTTCCTGCCTTTCTCGATTGACTAGGTTGAACAGCAAGAAACCTTACACCCCCCCCCCCCCCCCCCCCCGAAAAAAGACTGCCCCTGCGGCCCTCTCATTCCACTGAGCAAACTCCTAGACCCTACTGCTATGACTTGTTCATGGGAGGTTGGGACCACCTTCGAATGGACACTGGCGAACTCAAGGCACATGTTCCAGGGCTTAGTGTTCAGGGCTGAGGGTTTAGGGTTCCCTAAGCCCTAAGCCCTAAACCCTACACCTTGAACCGGCACATAGGGCTGAAAGCTCAACCCCATGCCATCTCGGGGCGCGACACGCGAGGCCAGGACTCTCCTGCGTGTGGTGAGGGAAGGTCGGAGCACTCCAAGCCCAGTTTCAGAAGGGGAGCTGCCAGGTATACAAGCACAGTCATGTTGCTGCGCACGCCATGAAATGAATAATATGCATATATGTAAATCTGTATATACATATTTACACGTATGCATGTCAAATATACATACATACATGGGAAGCTGTCTACTTTAACATGCCTCAACAAGAACAAATGCTGCAGCTGGTCCTCTTCCCTGAAGTCGGGAGACCAGGACTTGTCGTAGATCCACATTGGCACCTGCGAGGTCCGGTCTAGGGTTTTAGGGTTTAGGGTTCGGGACCCCTTCCCTAGATGCTAAACCGTCAACCCCTGCACCCGCTGCCATGCCTCGATCTCTTGGAAGCAACAATCCGGTATCGGGAAGAACTGAAGCATGGGCAGCACGAAGATGGATAGATCTGCGATGCCAGGTGCGAGCAAAACTTCGCTTTGGGGTTTGGGGCTTTGGGGGCTTTGCGGGCTTTGGGGGCTCTTTCTAAGGAGGTTCCCCCGGCATCAAGGTATGAGAAGGGGATCTTTTACTTTGTTGGTCTAATGAGCTTGACAACAGCAACCTAGCCCATCTGCAGAACAGGGAAGAAAAAGGGGTGAAGAAAAGGATATCTACGACCGGGAATCCCAAGTGAGGGACCTTTCAGAGAAGCCTCATGTTGAAGAAAAACCCCCAAGCACGAACTTCGCAGGAAGTGGAGTCCGAACAGTCCCCTAGCTCTGCGAGCCACAGCCTGCTGTGATATTGGCGTTGTGAGACCTCATTTCGTGCGGCTTCAAGCGCTCCCCGAGCCCATGTTCAGATCGTCCCGGCTGGGCTTAGGGTTTAATAGGGTTTAATGGGGTTTGATAGGGTTTAAAAGGGTTTAATAGGGTTTAATAGGGTTTAATAGGGTTTAGGGTTTAAGGTTTAGGGTTTAGGGTTTAGGGGGCATCTCAAAACAAGAAGCGCTCTAAAGCATCGACCATAAGCCCCCTGTGGCTCCAGCATCTGCGGTGGGCACACGAGTCCCTTTCGAGCGACGCACTCCTTGTAGATGGCCTTAGAGCAGGTGGCGGAGATGGGCTGCGAAGACAAGGCGATTTTATAGTACGATCATGTACTGTACGGATAGGGCTCACGTCAGTGTTCACTTGCATGCTTGACACTTGATGCACCGAAACAACTGAACCGCGCTCGCCTCACTGAAAGCGAAATTCCTTGACTATGGTCGACATACTTCACAACCCTGCAGAAGACTGTGGTGAGTGGAGGTTGTGGCAACCATCCTGCCAGACACGCAGAAGATCCCCAGCCCATCTAGAATCTTGAAGACCGACTGACTCTTACCAGGATGACCCCACTCTCCCAGTGGGTGCAAGCCAGGTCCAACATGCGAGTGTAAGATGCTTTTTCATGGTCAGCATGGTGCAAGGTGGCATGAGCCGCCGCGAAGGATTCGAAACCCATCTGAGCCAGGTAACTGTTGAAACTGCATGTGCTTTGTTGGCATGAAATCCATTAACCATCCATACATTTTTGTATGTACATATTATATATATATATAGATTCATTTGTGAATTTTCTTGTAAAGGCATAGAATTCCGCTGAATTCCGCTGCTTGTCCCCGTACGCTACCGGGGGATAAAACCACTGCCAGGGGCTCATCGATAGTCATCTGGCTCGGAATATTACAGGCTCGCTTGGAAGGTCAGTGACGACCAAAGACACCGAGCTACGACCACCTACCAGGAACCCATGTCATGGGGAGGCATACCAAATACACAGTCGTAAGATGGTCTAGGGTTTAGGGTTTAGGGTGCAGGGTTTATGGGAATGCGCCTGTTCTTCATAGGGAGCCTGCCTCGAAGACGACGACAGTGCGAGATAAAGTGGATCTTCCAATATGAGTCTCCAGAATTCAGGGTAGGGTTGAAGTTTAGGGTTGAAGTTTAGTCTTTAGGGCTCCAATTGTAGTAGAAGCCCTCGTAAAAGGACCCCAAAAGGGAGCCCGAATTTTCAAGCTTCGAGCGGTACTGCTCGGAGGCAATCACGGGCAGGGACAGCACTTTCCTTAGAAACCCTAAACCCTAAACCCTAAACCCTAAACTCTAAACCCTAAACCCTAAACTTACCTTTCCACGTCTGTCGCTGCTTTGGGACATGACGCGTTGCCCTATCACTGGCAGGGTCAACTACCCCCTTGCATTCCGTCCGAGATCCTGCACACAGGCAATCAAGCGGATGCCCGCAACTCTGAACTCTTGGAAGCCGCATCAACCCTTGCTTTGCAACAGGGTTTAGGGTTTAGGGTTTAGGGTTTAGGGTTTAGGGTTTAGGGTTTAGGGTTTAGGATAATTACCTCCTCCACACTGCTAAAAGAAACGGAACCCAAAGCGTAACGCCCTGAAAAACCGTAACTTATGCCCAAGCCACCCAAACCCAGCAACCCTAAACCCAAAAACCCGAAACCCTAAACCTTAAACCCTAAACCCTAACTTCCCAAACCCAAAGCCCCAAGTCCCCCAAACTCTCCTCGAGGAGCGCTGCGCTCGGAGAGAATCCACGAGCCTGAAGGGATCAGGGTTTAGGGTTTAGGGTTGAAGGGTTTAGGGTTTAGGGTTTAGGGTTTGGGGTTTAAGGTTTAGGGTTTAGGGTTTAGGGTTGAAGAACTTCCCCGACCTAGGCCTTTTCTTGCTTGGGGATGTGTAGCTTGGAGGTCAGGGTTTCGGCCTGAGAGTTCAGACGAGATTCCGCAGTCGAACCCTGCACGCGCCTCATGCACAGCTCTTAAGCCCTCACCCCAATCGAGGTGCACATCCCCAGGAACCAAAAAAGCGATTATTCTGTGTGGAAGACCTTACGACCCCAAGTTTAGAATGATTTGCGGTGTAGGGTTCCCAAGTCCTACCAGAATCCGAAACAACCCAAAGGCTTGGGGCGGCCAGAGGCCCTAAACCGGGCTTGAAGCACCCTAAACCTAAACCCTAAACCCTAAACCCTAAACCCTAAACCCTAAACCCTAAACCCTAAACCCTAAACCCCAAACCTTACATCCTAGACCCTACAAACCCTCCTAAGCCCTCCGCGGTCTTCCTAAACCACCCTCTCAACCCCTAGACCCTCCCAAGCCCCGAAACCTCAACATCTACAACCCTAAGCCCTAAGCTCCTAAGCTCCTAAACCCTAAACCCTAAACCCTAAACCTTAAACCCTAAACCCTAAACCCTGAAGAAAAGCCCCCTAGAGCATCTTCCCTGGGCTCGAGACTGTGACTTCAAGGCACCGACATCTCCCAGGAGCTGGCCCTGCCAGTAAAAAGGAGCTAAGGGTTTAGGGTTTTAGGGCTTAGGGTCTAGGGTTCAGGGTTTAGGGTTGAGGGTTTAGGGCTTAGGGTTTAGGGTTCAGGGTTTGGGGTGCAGGATGGTTAGGATGCTTAGGGGCTTTCAAAGGCTTAGGATGTTTAGGATTGTTTAGGATGCTTTGAGTTTAGGATTTAGGGGTGTAAGTTTGCAGGATTTAAGGGAATACAGGATTTAGGTGCTGCGCTCAAGGGTTGAAGTCTGAGCCTAACCCCCAAAAGCCCTCGACACCTTGGGCTGCTGCCCCTTATACTAACAATCCTCAATAGGGTATGAAGGACTGTGAGGACAAGGGTTTAGGGTTTAGGGTTTAGGGAACATCCCAACCTACACCCCAAACTAGAGCCTGGGGTCTGTACGGCGGTTCCAAGGTGCCGGAGTTTTGGAATTCACGGATTTGAGACTGTACGGGCCCCAAGCCCCTCAAGCAGGCCACCCTGACGTAGAACCTTAGGGTTTATTGTTTAGGGTCTAGGCTCTAGGGTTTAGGGTTCGGGTTTGAGGGCACGAAACCCTGAACCCGAAGGCCCGAAGGCCCGAAGCCCTGGCTCCTCGCCTGAACCTGTTGCATCCTCCGCTGCTGGTGGCGGATGGCCTCCGGCTTTGCCCAGACTTGCGCTCCGAAGAGGGCGGGGGGGGGGGGGGGGGGGAATGTCTCCGGGTTTTTGGGAGACCTTTGAAGTGTGAGATTTTATGGTTTAGGGTTTGAGGTTTAGGGCCTTCAGGTATGAACCTCGGGTTCAGGATGGAGGCCTGATATGCCTCATTGCTCTCCTGCATTGCATCGCCCACGTGAGCGCTGCTTCGTGTTCGCTCTTCATCCAGAGTTTGTATTGCGAACTGCATGGAACTTCTACCTACAGGTATTTACAGAAGTTGAAGAAACCAGCGCTCAAGTTTTCTGGACATGCGCCTCGAGCGTGCTGGCCTGCTGCGAGTGGAGGCCTGAAATGGCCGCAGTGCATTGGCTTTGCACGGCCTCCGCATGAGCAGGCTGCATGTTGGGGAGGGTTTAGGGTTTAGGGTTTAGGTTTAGGGTTGAGGGTTTAGGGTTCAGGGTTTAGGGTTGCTGCTTTCTCAAGATGCGAGCACGCCTACATTTGCGTTCGCAGCTTGCTGTTGTGGGCGTACTGACGCAGAGCGACTGCTGATGTGCAGCAATGAGAAGAATTGCAAACCCTAAACCCTAAACCCTAAACCCTAAACCCAGTGCCGCCACCTATTGGAGCAGTTGCTGCTGGTAACGATTCCACACTTCGAACTCTGCTAGTTGGTAGGTCGTTTGATTCGGGCCCCTGGTGGGCTCCCATTCACGAATCGGGAGCCTTACGTTTAGGGTACCAAACTCTAAAGGGACCATGATTCAGATGAATTGCGGAGAATGTCCACTGTTTTCCAGCCTCCAGTTGGCTCGACAGCTGCGTGGCGAGCTGCTGTTGGCTCGTGGCTTGTTGGTTCAGTACCTCCAGGCAGCACACCAAGGTCAAAACAAGATGAGGCTGCTGATGCCATATGCCTGCTTGCTGCTTTGTCAAAGAGGCTTTAAGAGCCTATGTACAGGCTTACACGGGGGGGGGGGGGTGGGTCTGTTTCGGGGTGGGTTGCATCTCCCAGGGCCTCAGAGCTTTCCAAACCACAACTGCTACGCGAGGGATGGACGACGGGTCTTCGAGATCAAAAACACGAGGCCAACACCTAAATCCAGTGTCCTGTGTTCTCCATGGCATTGTAGCATGGTTCTATACAGACTCTGTCAACAAATCCGAAATCACAGTATGTCCATGCGCTCCTCATCGAAGAAGCTTCGCTGCTGGGTCTTGAGCTCCAACGCCTCCTGAAACATCTGCAAGGGTTTGGGGTTTCATGGATTTAGGATGCTTTGGGGATGGTCGGGGGGGAGGGGGGTGGTATTTATGGGAAAGAGGGGTTTGGGGGCTTACCCTGAACCCTAAACCCTAAACCCTAAACCCTAAACCCTAAACCCTAAACCCTAAACCCTGGTGTCAGCCCTGAGTCCCTAAGCATGCCCTGGCATCTGGAATCTGGAGGCAAGGGGCGGGCATCAGGGGCTCATTAAACCGACACTCTGAATTTTCTGAAATCCCCAAAACACCCGAGATCCCTAAACTCTAGCCCTAAACCCTAAACCCGAAACCCTAAACCCTAAATCCCTAAACCCTAAATCTTTGGGCACTCTCACGGCTCCTGATGCTGCCTGGTGCGGACCAAGTCCAGCTCCTCATCTGTGACGCGGAAGCATAAGCCCCTTTTGAGTTTCCCTTTGAGGCCGACGATCGGCAAGTTTCAGTCGGGAGCCCCATCAAATTCTTACCATTATAGTTATTTTGACAAGTATTATGACTACTGCTACTATTACTATTATTAATATATTAGTATGATGATGATGATGATTATTATTATTATTTGTTTTACTATAGTATGACTACTTTTAGCATTAGTAGTATTATTCTGCGTATGTTCTTAAGCGGCCTGGTGCCTCGCTGTGTCGGCGTCCTGTGAGCCTACCCGTTCAATGCCAGACGCCAGATCTCAAAGCTCTAAGCCCTAAGCCCTAAGTCCAGAAAAGATGGCGAAAACCCCATGATCCATTTCTCAACACACCCTCCCCTACAACAAAGGCTTCCACAGTTTTCCTGGCCGGGGCCAAGCAACCCCAAACCCTAAACCCCGAACCCTAAACCCCAAACCCTAAACCCTAAACCCTAAACCCCAAACCCTAAACCCTAATCCACACTGCGTCCTCCACCGTGGCTGCATTGCTGGGCGGCGGTCGGAGGCGCGAGTCCTCTCGTGGCATTTTGTTATTTGTATTTTGTGTTTTTTTGTGTTCAGGGCTTGGGGTTTAGGGTTTAGGGTTTGGGGGGGGGTGGGTGAACTATAACTCCTCATCTTTGTAGTCCAGCCTCCTTGTCAAATATTGGGGATTCTTCGCAGGAGGCTTATACACCCAAAAGGTTTAGCGTTTACCTGCTCGACTACTAAACTATATTTTGGGGCACCCTGAACCCCCCATGAACCCCAAACCAAAAGCTACTAACAGGAGACCGCAAATGGCGGTGTGTCCTAGATCAGGGAACCCTTCTAAGCAGTGCCCCCGGCCGCAAAAAAACGAGGAACACGAAACCAAAACCACCCTAAACCCTAAACCCTTAACCCTAAACCCTAAACCCTAGACCCTAGACCCTAAACCCTAAACCCTAAACACCACCTACCTCGCGAACCGTCGGTTCTGCCGGTGCTCGGCAGCCACCAAACGCCTGACAGCTTCCGAATTCCGAACTGGGAGTTGCTGGGGGTTTAGGATTTAGGGGTGTTCAGGGTTTAGGGTTTAGGGTTTAGGGTTTAGGGTGTGGCTAGAGTGGCTAGAGTTCGTTAGAATGCTGGGGACCTAAGTCTTGAGTTTCCATGTCGGGGAGGAAGGGATTCAGCAAGTCTTACTGGCACATGGTCCTGGTAGACGGGTGAGCAGCAACGAGGTAAAAGATAGACCCTGGAGTCGACAGAAACGATGGCCCACGAAACCCGAACCAGGACGCAAGGCAACCCTAAACCCTAAACCCTAAAACCCTAAACCCTAAAACCCAAAAACCCGAAAAACCCTAAAAACCTAAAAGCCTAAAAACCCTCACAACCCTAACAACCCTAAAAACCCTAAAAACCTAAAAGCCTAAAAACCCTCAAAACCCTAAAAACCCTAAAAAAACCCACGCCAGTGCCTTGAAGAGGCTCCAGTCTCCTTCGCAGCAATTTTGACCGGGAGGGGTTCATGTAACCTCAAACCTAAACCCTAAACCCTAATTAAACCCTAAACCCTAAACCCTAAACCCTAAACCCTACACCCCAAACCCTCTGGAGGGTTCGTGAGTCTGAAGGGTGTGACGCATTCCGAGGAGAAACGGGCGTAAGCGGTCAATGAGGTGGTGGCATGTCGGCCTTTCAGAATGACAGAGCTGAAGGATGACTGGCGTAAACGCAAAAATCCGGTTTAGGGTTTAGGGTTTAGGGTTTAGAGTTTTAGGGTTTAGGGATCCCCCTAGACTCTAAATTTGACAAACTGCGCAGCCGGATTTCCAGGGCAAACTTTCATGTGGTAATTACCAGAGGTCGCAGCAAAAGCAGATAAAGAGGAACTCCAGAACAAAAAGGGCTTCATGTCATCTCAGGTAGTCTGCAGGCAGTGGGTTTGTTTTCTTCTTCCACATTGACGTAGGAAAGCTGCTGAGTTGTGGTCTGGGAGCCACCCTATACCAAAGCCAGGAGTGTTTAGGGAAATGCTATGGTGTTCTGTCTTTGGAATGAGAGCACACGCACACACAACACAGACATACACACCAAGCTCTTCAAGAGGCTCGAAGTGCCCCAATCACTCGGCTTTCAGCTTTTTTTTCTCCTCTTGTGGTCTTCGACTCCTATTTGGGATACCTGCTTCGGGTAGGGCAACCCTAAACCCTAAACCCTAAACCCTAAACCCTAAACCCTAAACCCTAAACCCTAAACCCTAAACCCTAAACCCTAAACCCTAAACCCTAAACCCTAACCCTCAACCCTCAACCCTCAACCCTAAACCCTAACCCTCAAGAGTTTAAGGTTTCTGGGGCGCCTTTGAGAACTCAAATGGCTCCCATGCTTGGCGCCTCCGTTCTGCCGCTCTGACTCTGCCAGGTCCACGAGGCTCTGCTGCTCCTTCCATATTTTTTCTGTTCTTACTACTATGATTACTGTTAGTAGTATCTTATACTTCTTCTTATTATTCTTATGACTGTTACTATTCGTATGAATAGTATTTCTCTTCGCTTGGACCAAGATGGAGGACCCAGGGCTTCAGGGCAGTGTAGGGTTTAGAAGGTTTAGGGTAGATGCGGAGTCAAGATGGTGGTAGTGGCGGAGCAGGTTCTGACGCAGGAAGGCCTTGGCCACTTGGAGATGTGGGATGCCCGGGGTTCAGAGGAGGGAATCGGCTTCAAAATCACATTGCACAGCGACTGCGGTTATGTTATCTAAAGGTCCTGATCTGCCAATTTCTGAAAGTTGCGTTTTAACCGAAAACAGTGTGTTAACACTCGCCCTCGGTGCGGGACCCAAGCAACCCCCTAACCCCTCCATCCGCCAACAAAAAAGAAAGCCCTAGACTTCCCTAAGGGCTCAGCCCTAAACCCCAATTAAACCTAAACCCTAACCCTAAACCCTAAACCCCTAAACCACCCTAAACCACCCTAAACCCTAAACCCTAAACCCTACACCCCTAAACCCCTAAACTCCAAAACCCCAAACTCCAACCCCAAGGGCCCTGAGTGTGGTCAGCAACTCAAAGAGCTCCTGTCGGAGTTGCTCCACCTGCCCGAAGCCCAAGATGCTTTGCTTGTGGTGCGCTTCCCGGGGGGGTTTGAGGTTTAGGGATCGGGGCTTCAGGGCTTACTTATTTAAGGCTTGGGGCTTGAGCCTTTAGGGTCATTACTATTACTATTATTATTATTATTGTTATTTTGTTTTTATTTTTCTTTTTTCAGAGTTTGAAGCAGATAAGGGCTCAACCGAGTCGATCGGCCGTCTGAAGCCGGCACATACATGTGCTGCCGCTACTCTCGACGCCTGCGCTGACTGGGAGGTTCCCTAAACCCTAAACCCTAAACCCTAAACCCTAAACGGTTCCCTAAATCTGGTGCGGAAATTTGGGCTTCCCTCTATACCGTTAAGTTTCATCAAGGCTCTTGCTTCCACCCGGGCTTGCTTGACTCATGTTCTTACCGCAACGACAGCTGGTTGCCTGCCGACCTCATTCCTGAGGCGGCCCTCTGCTCCCGAAACCCCTAGGAACATTTGATCCTGAAATCCTGAAACCCTGAAAGCCCAGCACCCCCTAAGCCCTGGAAATGAAGATGTGGGCGAATGGGTCTCAAGGGGCCTAGCTTGTTTGGCTTCTGCCAGATGGTTGGCGAGTCTGGGGTCTTGGGCCGCATTTGAAGGCCCAGGTTGCGAGGGTGCAGGGTTTAGGGTGTAGGGTTTGGGGTTTAGGGTTTGGGGTTTAGGGCTTAGGGTTTGGGGTTTAGGGTTCAGGGTTTAGGGCAACCCTAAATCCACCATCAGGAGCCTGCACAGTCAGCCGCTGTTTCATGGCCGAGGAGTCGCGCAGCGACTCGAGCTGCTGCTTCTGCAGCTCCTGCCGCTCAGTGAAGGGATTGGGGGTTTGGGGTTTAGGGTTTGGGGCTTGGGGTTTGGGGTTTCGGGTTTAGGGTTAGGCCCTGATTTTCGCCAACCCCCACTTCTAAGGATTTAGGGTTTCATACAGGGTGTTACTTTTGAGAAACTTCCCCAAATCTTGCATGCCCTTTGGACCTTAAGAGAAATAAAAGAATGTCCCAATGGCCTAGGCCTGCCTAGGACATGGGCATGGTGGTTCAAGTTCTCAAGGGCTGAAGAGGTTGTAGGGT